GTCGTTGTCGCCGTCGTCGTCCTTCCTCCTTCCTCGTCGTCGCCTTCGTTGGCGTCGTCGTCGTCGTCTTCGTCGTCGTCGGCGTCGGCGTCGTTGTCGTCGTCGAAGTCGTCGGAGACGTCGTCGGTGTCGTCCTAGTCGTTGTCGTCGGTGTCGTAGTAGTCGGTCTTAACAGGTTTTGCAAACCAAGTTGCGGGTGGGTGGGTGGGATGTTTGCGCGAGCAGTGGAGATGACGACTTCAAGTTCCGCAGAGTGGGCTTCACACCTTAGTCTGTGCGTGCACGTCCCATGTCCTGTCCCTGCTTCCTAACCTTCCCCCCCGACTTCCGTACTCTTACAGCGGGTGCGCGAGCGTCGGTCTTCAACCTTTTACCTCTCTCTGATGTGCAGCTCCTCTCTGTCGCCGTGTATCTTGATATCTGTTGCACAGCATATCACGAATTAAAACACTGGCCTCGGACGAGCCCGCTCGCCGAGCGGGCTCGGCTGTACAACTTCGGAGTGGCGCGCATCCGCCAATACGCAGGCGGGCCCCGCCTCTATTCTCTGCTGTCTTTGCTGGTGCAGGGTGAACCTTGAGGAGCCGTCGTCTCGCCGTCGTCGGTCGCCCCCTGGGGCTGTGCACTCCTCCTCTCCCTCCTCCTCCTCTTTCTCCTCCTCCTCCTCCTCCTTCCGTAGCCGCTTTGGCTCAAGTCACATGCTAGGCCAGGGCCCCCGACGCGCACTCCCTCCTGCATGCTATGGTGTGGTTCGCCGCCATGCCGCGTTGTGTTTCTTCCAGATTTCCTGCATGGTTCATTGCAGATCGCCGCTGAAGTTGGAAATTCGTCGTGATCGGGCCCGTGCTCGAGGTTTCCTTCGTGTTCTTCCATCCGGTATGCGCTACGCGCACACGCCGACCCTCACGCCGTTGGGTGTCTATGGCGGTGGTGATCTTCAACACGTTGCTCGCGTCATCACCGACCTACGAGGCGATGCTGGGTGTTCTGAGGGTCTTCCGCGCACTTCTACTTCTGCGCCGCCTGTTGTGGCCGACAATGACACGTTCTCGCATGACCTGGACTTCGATATGGAGCACTCAACTTCTCCGCTGCCTGGCGTGGCCGACAATAACACGCTCTCGCACGACCTGGACTTCGAGATGGAGCTCTGCATCCCCGAGAAGGAGCAGCTGGCGGCCGCCTGGGTCGCGGCGCCCGCTGCTGACGCTCTTAGGCCTTCAACCTGAGGATGGCGCTGAGCTCGCTCCGCCTCGCGTCGCTGCTGTTCGGCGCGCTGCTCCTTTGTCGAGGGTGGCGTCTTCTTCCGCGGCTTCTGGGGCTTCGGCGTTGTGCTCTTCTGCGCCCCCTTCGAGTTCGGCAGGTGCCTCTACGCCTCCGGCTAGCTGGGACAAGGCCACCCAGCAGGGAGCCCGCGGCTCCAACCAATCCCCAAAAGAAGATTAAGATCCGCCTCAAGGTAATGTCAAAGAAAGTGACTATCCTCCGTGGTGGTTTCGTCTGTGCGAGCTACGCCGGCTACTTCAACTTCTCCGGCTCCTGGTGCGAGGGCTTCGGCAGCTCCTCCAGGTTCTGCGGCTCCACCGACGCGCTCTGCTGGAAAAGGCAAAGACAAGGACACGGACCAGGACAAGAACAAGGAGTTGGGCAAAGCCAAGATCAATCACGGTGGCACCTCTCGCCCTGCAGCTGGCCAAGTTGCTCTCCGCGAAGAAAACGTCGATGTCTCGAGCTTGCAGTTCCCGCGTTGGAGATATGGGTCCGGGAACAAGGTCTTGCTGTTACAAGCACTGCCAGGGCCGACGCCGCTGCCGGGGGGTACCTTTGCGTGGGCGCTCTCTTGGCACGCGATATGATCTGTTGCGGCCGCGACCCAGAGTGCAAAGACTCTTTTGTGCAGTCGTTTTCTTCGTGGTCCTTGATCGACTATATCGCTGCCTCTTGTGGTGGCGCCAAGGCAGACAAGAACAATCGCCAGGAGAAGGACAAAGACAAGATCACGGACAAATATAATAGCACGGACCTGAGCGACACCGTCGTGCCTCCCGCATGGTCTGTGGGCGATCAGGTACGGCTTCATGGCCTCAACACCGCCACGCTGAACGGCGCGAGTGGTGTCTTTTCAAAGTTGCACGCTGGCCACGACCGCCTCGGAGTCACGCTCAACTCGGGGAGGGCGTCGCCATAAAGATCCACAACATCATCAAAGTCACTGCGTCGAGTTCTCCTTCGAGGGCTCCCTCGCCATGTCCTTCGGCTTCGAGGACATGAGCGGCGCCGCCCGCGGCCGACTGTCGGGGCCCGCGCCCCTGGCACGCTCGACTCCTCCTTCTCCTCCTCCTCCTCTTCCTCCTCTTCCTCCTCCTCTCCCTTCTCCCCCCTTCTCTCCCCTTATCTCCTGCCTCCTCCTGCGCTGCTCCTGGGTGGCTGCGAACTGCGCAACAATCGTCACTTTCTTGAACTCCTGGGAGGCACGGCGCAGTCGGGGAGTGCGCGCACCCAGACGGGACTTCGCAGATCCCTGGGGGGCTGCGACCTGCTCACCTGGCGCTTTTTCCGTGGGCACCTGGGAGGTCGAGCGGAGTCGGGGGGTGCGCGCACCCAGCAGAGACCTCGCAGCGCTCAGGGGGACCGCGATTTGAGCAAACGTCGACACCTCCGTGGGGTCCTGGGGGGCCCGGCGGAGTGGGGGTTTACGCACATCCAGTCGAGACCTCGCGGCTCCCAGGGGGGCTGCGAAGTGCGCGATCGTCGTCACTTTGGTGTGCTCCTGGGAGGCTCAGCGGATGGGGTAGTACGCAGACCCAGCGGAGACCTCGCTGCTGCCTGTGGTGGTTGCGAAGTGCGCCATTGTTGACGTTAATTATCGTGGGCTTTTGGGAGGTCACCGGATCACATTGTCCTCGCAACGTGTTCTTGACTCTGGAGCGTTCATTAACGATTCGAGTGGGCAAGGGGTTGGGGACGTCTCGGGTAATGTAAGCTACAACCACAAACCAGAACCGTTATCTTGCAGCATGCCTCTTTTCCATCATCCTTGTCGCACCACGCGACGTGTCTGCAAGGCGGGTTCGGAGGGTTTTGTGAGACGTCCCCACGTCTTACTGTTCCTGTGCTCGGGGATTCCAGCACCTGCAGGTTATTGTGGATGGCGGGACGTTCGCGCAACGTTGCTCTCGCCTACGCGCCCTGCAAAGTCGTCCAACGCTACAGTCAACCCGCATCATAGGGATGGTCAACCTTCCCAAGGGTACCCTTGCATCCTTGCCCCTTAGGCCCATCCCTGGCAACTGTCGCTGGCCAGCCCCATTCGAAAAATGTCGCGCCATTCGAAAAACATCAACCGGGCGTCCCAAGGCCCTTGCATCGTTACCGCGCATCCTTACTGTACGGGTTGATTGTATCAGCAGCTACATGGATGAAGGCCCCTTGGGGTGATCTCCGGTGCTTCTCCATGGCCCATTGTAGACCACTGCTAGGGGTCTGTTGGAGGCGGATTGTGGTCGCGACGGATTTGAGTCGCGGCCTTCCTGGCGAAGCAGTCCCCGTGAAATGGGAAACGGTTTGTTGGCAGCGGTCCGCGCGAACCTGCGAAAGAACAAGTTGTTGGATGAATCCATTCTGCACGCGGGTCAGAGGTGACCCCTGGGGGGCCTCTGTGCGGGCCTCTTTAAGGAGTCTGCTGGCGGTTTCGGGTATTTTTTGGACAGCGGGCTCGCACTGTCGGTTGAAGGGCGCCCTCTTTGGACCCCTCTCTGGGCCCCTCTTGGGGCCCCCTCGGCCAGTGCTGGGGGCCCCTTGGGCCGCCACCTGGGCCCGCTTGGCCGTTTTGGAGCCTTTTTGGGGGCCGTTTCGGGGCGACCTTGGGAGCCTCCTGGGTCATCTTGGGCGTTCGGACGCCCGAAGGGGCGAGAACGCCAACACCAATCAGCAAAGATAAGGGAATTCACTGATGTGGACCTCTAGGGGCCCTCTTGTGAGTCCTCGTGGGGCCCTCTTGGTGAGTCTTGGGGGTCTCTTGGTTGTCTTAAGGCTGTCCATCTCGGAGCACTCTTGGGTCGTTTCGGAGCCCTCTTGGATAAACCTGGGGGCTCCTTAGGGCTCTCTTGGCCCATCTTGGGGCCTCCTGGCCTCGGGAACAGTCACGCGAGACGCTCCGGAAGATGCGTGCCGCACCCCAGGAGCGCTGGAACTCGGGACTGTGCCCCGCAGAGTGTTCACAGAAGTCTATCCAAGCAGGGATTTCTAACGGACCTGGGGGCACTCCACTTCGAGCCTCGAGGCACGGTGGCGGACCACTGCGGCAGGACTTGCAAGAGAAGGAGGCTCGTTACGACAGCTCTGGGCCTGTTGCCAGATTTGGTTAAGCCCGTAAGTGGCCATGGTGGCTCAAGTCATACACACGTGAGCTCTAGCGCCATAGTCGCACGAATTCTAGCGCCGTTGCAGTGCAGGATATTGATGATCATCTCGTTTGCCCTTCAGGATGGACGCCCTGCATTCCATGTTGGCTTGGGGCTCCGCTGCTGTCGCCCTTACGATCATGATTATGACTCTTTTGTGGGGCGCGCGGTGTCAACGCTCGTCTGCTCTCTCGTCCTCCACGAAGCGCGAGTCATTGGTGGCATTGCGATCGGGGGTCGTCCTCTTGATCATGACGATCCCGTTTCTCGCACCTCCGTTGGTCGACCGCTTCCCGGCAAATTTTGAGGCGATCTATCCGTCTTTGCCGTTCTGGTACTGCTTCATCGTGGACACGCACTGGGGGCGGTGCCTCCACAACAGCTACCACGCGCTGCTCGGCGTGCTCCTCGCGACCCTGGTCATGGCCTTCCTGAACTACCTCATGCCAGGCGGGGCGGGCCCGTGGGCTCGCGACCCGCAGTATGTCGAGGAGGCCTGGGTGCCGGGAGGCTACAACAGAGGCCTGGCCATCTGCACGGGCATCCTCGTCGCGTACCTGTTCTTCCTCATAGACTTCGGGGTACCCACGAAGCAGTACGGCCTGGCGACGTTCGCAAGCATCCTGCTGGCTTTCATGGACCCAAAGCAGGGGCACGATGATTTCCGGGGCGTCCTCTGGACCTACGAGGGCGTGCCGACGCTCGGTTCTCCCACCTGGTGCCAGCTTTACCTGAACGTCATGGCGATCACCCTGGCGTTGCTGACGCTGCCCTCGGGCCCGTCTGTGCCCTTCTGCCCGCGCCAGACGTCCTGGTGCTGGGACGACGCGAAGCAGGGCTACGCCCGGCTGGCCGAGGACACGGTGCTGGGCTTCGACCGCGTGGTGAGGCACTTCCGCGAGGGCAGCAGCGCGTTCGCGCTGGACAGCTCCTTCCTCAGATGCACGTTTGGGGGACCTTCCTGGGAACGACCTGGCGGATGTGTTCGTCTCCAGCTCGACTCAGATTCGGCTCAAGTCGTCGGTCGGTCGACGCAGCATCGACGCATGATCGGCGCCACACAAACGCACCAATACTGTGTGTAGGTCGCCTCAGAAGGGGCGACGCGCGTGTTCAGACATTTTGAAGTATATGATCCTGGGTCGAGCTTTCATTACAGCCCCCCATCCACCCAGATGGAGTGAGTCCTTGGGTTCCACAGCCCCCCCCAAGATGGGATGGAGGGGGAAGACGCTGCCGCCGACGGAAGACGATGACGACGACGCCGACGCCGACGCCAGACGACGCCGACGACGCCGACGCAGACGCCGACGCCGACGACAACGACGACGACGGCATCGACGACGACGACGAAGACGCCGGCGCCGGCGCCGACGACGTCGCCGACTACCCTCAACCACGCCACGACCACAGGAGTGGGGAGGGGGGCCCATCCAGCGGCCAGGGGGGTGCTCGATTCTGTATGCATTGGGGGGCACCCCCCCTGGATCGTGTCTGCGCTCCGTGGCGGGGGCTTTCTGGCATGCCGCTCGGGCAGCGATCTGCTAGAGGGGGTCTGTACATACCATCTGTTGTCTGGTTCGGACGTGTGCCTCCGAGGAGGGCGCACGTTGCTCGTAGGTCCTGCTGCGTCCCAGACGGGTGGAGCGAGTGGCTTCAGGAAGGTCTCCGGCACGAGCATCTGCACCGTCCTCTTCCTCAAGAATCTCGGCGCTCGGCGCAGGGCGCTGGAGGGGCTCCTGGAGGACGCCTGCTGGGAGGCGCGGCCCTGGCAGCTCCAGGAGCTCCGCAGGTTCTCGAGGCTGCTGCGCGGCCTGCGGCAGGTGCGCGGGCAGTTTTTTTGTAGCATCCCGCAGTTGCGAATAAGAGGGAAGGGGGGGGCGCGGGATGGGTCGCGGATGGATCGGGGGCGCGTCGCGGGTGGGTCGCGGGGTGGGTCACGGATGGGTCGCGGGGTGGGTCACGGATGAGTCGCGTGTGGGTCGCGTGTGGATCGCGGGTAGGTCGCGGGTGGGTCGCGGGTGGGTCGCGGGCCGGGTCACGGGCGAGGACGACAACAACGCAACGCAGCGCAACGAAACGCAACTACAATCCGAGCCGCGGAACCTCATTTCAGCCCCGCACCCAGGGACAGTGTATGACCGTTCGGCCCCCTCACTCTGATTCACTAAGTCTTGGACTTTCTGGGAAGGGGCCAAAAGGCCGAGGCGCAGTGGGTATGGATGAAATTCTAGCCTCCAGGCCAGACTTTCTCCATATCCACTGCGCCTTTGGTTTCTGGGGAAGGGAGCCCAGAACGGCAAAACGCGGTGGATGTACCTATTGCTCGCAAGGTGCTCCGCGTCGCGCTGGAGGACTTGCGGCAGTTCGGGGACTCATTCGATTTCGACGAGGACGTCGAGGAAATCTCCGTCTACTCGCGGCGCCTCCGCGGTCGCCGCCACCCCTGCCTGCGGCAGCTGTGATCCCAGAGGGGGCCGGAGGCGGCTCCGAGGCGGGACGGGGGCACGCCGAGCCGCACAAGACAGAGACGGTCTCGCAGGCGTCTGTGTGTGAGAGTGTGTGCAGGCGTGTGCAGGTGTGTGTGTGGCTTGCTCCCCCATCTCGGGTTAATTCAAGCTTCGCGCGGCCAACTTAGCTTCGACCGGAAGAGGTGCGCTCTCGACCCGCGAATCAAAAAGTGTGTGTGTGTATGGTGTGTACGTTTTTGCCGCGCCCTACGTTCCTCCATCGGATCGCAGAGTAGCCTTTGGCATGCTCATGGGCCGACACAACTAGCGCCCAGACCTATGCGGCCCCCTGGATATCTTGGGGTGGGATTCCGTGGGGGAGCTGTGGGCGCTCGTTGTCGGACGGGGGTCCCCGCTCGGACGGGAGCCCAACCCGGGCCCGACAACCCGCACCCGTACCTATGTCGTCTTCATCTCCGTGCCTCTCCTAATGTCTCCTCCCAATAGGTTTGAGCTTGTGTTGTCCGTTGGTCATCTATCGTCTGGTTGGTCTCCCGTCCTCGTCGGATCGCCACCCCACCACCGCTGTCATTCTCCGCAGCGGGAGGCCAGGATCGATCAGAGCTCTGCCCAACACTGCCCCAAGACGGCCCTGGCGCTTTGCACTGCTTTGCATTGTTTGCATTGCTTTTTGTTGCTGCGCATTGCTTTGCGGTGCGTTTCGTTGCTTTGCATTGCGTCGCATCGTGTTGCATTGCTATGCATTGGTTTTCCTTGTTCCGCACTGTTTTAGCATTCCTTTTTCATTTGTTTATATTGTTCCGCGCCACGCAGATTGCACCACATGGATTGCACCATCGAGATTTTTTTACAGAAGAATAGACTCTACCCCCCCAGAGTTAACGGGCCACCTTTTCGTATTGCAATTTACATATGATTCTGCCCCATCGTCCATCCTGACTGTGAATTCACATTCTCCCAGCCAAACCGGTATCGCCCCCCCGCCATCCTCTGCAAAAAATACTATGCGCGCACACTCGTTTATCTAACATATTAATTTTTTAAAGAACCCCTTGCAAAACATGTGACCAACTGCGCACGCGCGCGTCGTCGCGCGCGCATGCCGAAATCCTTCACAAACCCTCGGTTTCGGAAGGATTTCAAAATCGAGTTTCCAAAATACATACAAAGGCACAGGGTTTCGCAACACTGATTTTCTAAGAAAGCTTACGCGCGCTCTCTTGCGAAATCTTACGAAAACCACCGGTTTTTCAATATTTTCAAAACAAAAAAAAATACAACTAAACGGGCTTCGCGCGCGCATGCCGAAATCTTTCGAACGCCCTTGCGCGCGTGCCGTCGCGAGAATCCTTATCAAAAAATGAGATGAAGTGCGGACGCGCGCGTCGTCGCGCGCGCATGCCGAAATCCTTCAAAAACCTTCGGTGCCGGAAGGATGTCAAAATCGTGTGTCCCCCCAAAAAACGAAACACACACGGTTTCGCAACACGGATGTTCAACAAAAGCGTGCGCGCGCGCTCTTGCGTCGTCGTCGTCGTCGTCGTCGTCGCCGTCCTCCCTCCTCCCTCGTCGTCGTCGTCGTCGTCGTCGTCGCCGTCGTCGTCCTCTGTCTTTCCTCGTCGTCGTCGTCCTTGGCGTCGTGGTCGTTTCCGTCGTCGTTGTCGCCGTGGTCGTCCTTCCTCCCTCGTCATCTTCGTCGGCGTTTCGTCGTTGTCCCTCCTATTTCGTCGCCGTCGTCGTCGTCGTCGTCGTCGTCTTCCCTCCTGCCTAGTCGTAGTCGTCGTCGCCGTCGCCGTCCTCCCTCTTCCCTCGTCGTCGTCGTCTTCGTTGGCGACGTCGTCGTCGTCGTCGTCGTCTTCGTCGTCACCGTCGTCGTCGTCGCCGTCGTCGTCGTCGGCGTCGTCGGCGTCGTCGTCGTCGTCGGCGGCGTCGTCGTCGTCGTCGGCGTTGTCATCGTCGTCGTCGTCATCGTCAGCGTCGGCGTCGTCGTCGTCGGTGTTGTCGTCGTCGTTGTCGCTGTCGTCGTCGTCGAAGTCGTTGGAGACTCGCCCGCAGCGTCTACCGTTGTCGACGTTGCCATGATACCGCGCCCGCCCAAGTCTCCGACTCGCAATGAAGTGCCCGCTGATACGTGCCCAACGTTCAGCGCCACCGCGGCCGCGTCGGTCGCGCTAGACCAGCTGGCTGCTGCGCGCGCGTGCTTGGGTTGGCGCGGCCGCTGAGACGCACCAGCAAACGCCGAGCATGCATCGCAATCGCCACCTTATGGGTTTTGCAAACCCAGGTGCGGGTGGGTGGGTGGGATGTTTGCAAGAGCGCGGGATGTGTCAACTCGTTTGTTAAAATCAGTTTTCCTTTCTAAAAAGAAAAAATACCCCCCCGGCGTTATCCGCCCCCCTTTCGGGTATGTAAATCACATATGATTCTGACCACATGTCCATCCTGAATATGAATTTACACTATCCCAGAGGGGCCAGGATCGGCCCCCCTGAGGTTCCCTTTAAAAAAACGATGCGCGGGGACATCTTTAGTTCTAACACAACACTTGTTCACGAATCCCTTGCAAAAAATAGGACGAGCTGCGCACCCGCGCGTCGTCGCGCGCGCATGCCGAAATCCTTCAACAACCTTCGGTGCCGGAAAGATTTATACAAAAGCACAAGGTTTCGCAACACTGATTTGCTAAACCAATACTTACGCGCGAGCTCTTGCGAAATCTTATGAAAACAATGGTTTTTCAAGATTTTCACACAATGCTACCAAACGGGCTTCGCGCGCGCGCATGTCGAAATCTGTCGAACGCCCTTGCGCGAGTGCCGCCGCGAGAACCCTTTCCAAAAAATGGGACGAAATGCAGACGCGCGCGTCGTCGCGCGCGCATGCCGAAATCATTCAAAACCCATGGGTTTCGGAAGGATTTCAAAATCGTGTTTCCAAAAACCTACAAAAACACGAGGTTTCGCAACACGGATTTTCAACAAAAGCGTGCGCGCGCGCTCTTGCGTCGTCGTCGTCGTCGTCGTCGCCGTCCTCCATCCTCCCGCGTCGTCGTCGTCGCCTACGTCGTCCTCTGTCTTTCGTCGTGTTTGTCGTCGTCGTCCTCTTTGGCGTCGTGGTCGTTTCCGTCGTCGTTGTCGCCGTGGTCGTCCTTCCTCCTCCTCCCTCGTCGTCGTCGTCGTCCGTCGTCGGAGTCTCGTCGTCGTCCCTCCTATTTCGTCGCCGTCGTCGTCGTCGTCATCGTCGTCGTTGTCGTCCTCGTCGTCTTCCTTCCTCCCTCGTCGTTGTCGTCGTCGGCGTCGCCGTCCTTCCTCCTTCTTCGTCGTTCGCGTCGTCGTCGTCTTCCCTCCTCCCTCGTCGTTGTCCTCGCTGTCGTCGTTGTCGCCGTTGTCGTCCTCCCTCCTCCCTCGTCGTCGTCTTCGTTGGCGACGTCGTCGTCGTCGTCGTCGTCGTCGTCGGCGTCGGCGTCGTCGTCGTCTTCGTCGTCGTCGACTTCGGCGTTGTCGTCGTCGCCGCCGTCGTCGTCGTCGTCGTCCTCGTCGTCGTCGTCGTCGGCGTCGTTGACGTCGTCGTCGTCGTCGGTGTCGTCGTCGTCGTCGTCATCGTCGTCGTCGTTGTCATCGTCGTCGTCGTCGTCGTCGGCGTCGGCGTCGTCGTCGTCGTCGGTGTCGTTGTCGTCGTCGTCGTCGTCGTCGTCGTTGTCGGCGTCGTCGAAGTCGTTGAAGACGTCGTCGGTGTCGTCGTAGTCGTTGTCGGCGGCGTCGTCGTCGTCGTTGTCGCTGTCGTCGTCGGCGTCGCTATCGTTGCCAAGTGCCATTTGGTACCCACCGTCACGGTCTTAAGAGATTTTGCAAGCCAAGTTGCGGGTGGGTGGGTGGGATGTTTGCGCGAGCAGTGGAGGTGGTCAAGCGCGGTGCAGGGTAGTCAGATGCACCACATATGTTCTCCCTTCTAAAACGTGGATCGACTCTACCCCCCCCCCGGATTAGGGGCTCTCCTTTTCGTATTGCAATTTACACATGCTTCTGCCCCATCGTCCATCCTGAATATGAATTCATGCCATCCTCGCCAAGCCGGTATCGCCCCCACCCCCCCGGGCATCCTGCGGAAAAAAGATTACGCGCGCGCACAAGCCTTAATTTTTCAGGAGCCCCTTGCAGCAAATGGGACGAAGTGCAAACGCGCGCGTGGTCGCGCGCGCATTCCGGAATCCTTCAAAAACCTTCGGTATCGTCTGGGTTTCAAAATCGAGTGTCCAACAAATCATATTAAAACAAATGGTTTCGCAACACGGATTTTCAAGACAAGCGTTCGCGCGGGTTCATGTTAATTCTTCTGAAAACCATAGGTTCTCCAATATTTCCAGAACATGCTACCAAACAGGCTTCGCGCGAGCATGTCGAAATCGTTCGAACGCCCCTGCGCGCGTGCCGTCGCGAGAATCCTTTGCAAAAAACTGGACGAAGTGCACGCGCGCGCGTCGTGGCGCGTGCATGTCGACATCGGGTCAAAACCTACGGTTTCGTAGCGATTTCAAAACCGCATGTCCAGACAACATACAAAACAACACATGTTTTCGCAACGACAACTTTCAACCAAGAAAAAAAAACACGTGCGCTCGCGTTCTTGCGCATTCTCAAGGAAATCATTGGCTTCTCAAAACATGCTCATACAATTCTGCCAAACGGGCCTCTGGCGCCGCATGCTGACATCAATCGCACGCTCTTGCGCGCGTGCTGGGGTGTGGGGGGGCACAATCCATGTAAAATTAAACCATGTGGGCCACACTCGCGCGTCGGCCGCGCGCGCATGTCGAAGTCTTTCCAAAACCTGCACCACCGACCGACGCGGGGACGCCGTCATCGACGTCGGGGTGGCGTGATCAGCATCGGCGCCCGCGGTGGCCGCGCCTTCGTCGGTGTTAACATCGTCACCAGCATCGCTACGACCATCATCGTGTCCATCGTCGTCGACGTTGCCATGATACTACGCCCGCCCAGGTCGCCGACTCGCAGTGAAGTGCCCGCTGGGATGTGCCCAGCGGTCAGCGCCACCGCGGCCGCGTGCGCGCGCGTGTTAGAGTTGGCGCGGCCGCAGGGGATGCACCAGCCAACCCCAAGCATGCATCGCCATCGCCACCGCATGGGTTTTGCAAACCACGTTGCGGCTGGGTGGGTGGGATGTTTGCAAGAGGATGGGATGTGTCAACACGTCTATGAACACCCATTGCACCACCTAGATTGCCTGTTTGTTTGGAGTCCACGCTGGCTGTCATATTCAGAAAAAATGTGTGTGTACACATATATATATATATATATGTATGTATGTATGTCTGTCTGTCTGTCTGTCTGTCTGTCTGTCTGTCTGTATGTATGTATGTATGTATGTATGTATGTGTATATATAAGAATGAATCGGAATAGGCCGGGGGAGGGCCCAGAACTGCTGCCTCAGGTTCGCATGGGCGGCCGGGGGGGGGGCCGGGGGTGCTCCAGGAGGGTTCAGAAGGTGCCCCGGACCCCCCCACAGGCCCCCAAGCTGGCCCAAGAGGCGCCCAAAGCGCCCCAGGTTGCCTGGAAGGTGGCTGAAGAGCGCACTGAGATGGCTTCTGGGCGGGCCACGAGCGCTCGAAGACAGCCCAAGACTGCTCCTAGACGGCCACAAACGCATTCAAGATGGTCCAAGAGGCCGCCGAGAAGGCCCTCCAAGGACAAACATCTAGCATTTCCTATGGGAGAACGCATATGTCTTGGATATTTGCTCTTCAGTCCTACCAGCGGCCGCGACTGCCCCAGAAGCTCCCAAAATGAGCTCCAGACGGCCCAAGAGGCTCCCAAGAGTGCCCCCAGATGGCCTGAAGAGAGCTTCAAGCAGCACAAGAGAGCCAAGAGAGTACGCAGGAACCCCGAGGGGGCTACCGGAGGATCCCTACATGCGAGGGCCCCCAGAGGGTCAGAGGGCCCCAAGACGGGCTCAGGTCCTTATGGCGGCCGAAGAGGGACCCGGAACGGCTGATCCGTGCTCGCAGAGGGTCTATAAAAAGCCTACCAGGTCTCCCTGAAGACGGTCCAGGAGGCCGCTGAGAAGGCTCCCGGGTGCAAAAAACGAGCACTCCCCATGGAAAAACGTACTTGTGATATTCGCTTCGTATGTTCCATCGGCGGCCACGTCGGCCCCAAAGGCTCCCCGAATCGGCGCCACACGGTCCACGAGGCTCCCAAGAGGGCTCCAAGACAGCCTCAAGAGAGCGTCGAGCAGCACAAGAGAGCTCCAAACCAGCCCGAGAAGAGTCCCCGGGGGGCCCGAGGGAGCCACCGGAGGATCCTTACATGGTCGGAGACGGCTCCATGAGGGCCCCAAGATGGCTCAGCTACCCATGAAAAAGCCAAGAGGAGCTTGGGACAGCCGAAATGGACTCCCAGACGGGCCACAAAAGGCCCCAAATGACCCCCCCAAGACGGTCCAAGAGGCCGCCGAGAAGGGCCTCCAAGGGCAAAAATTAAGCATTCCCCATGGACGAGCGTATATTTCTGTGAGCTTCGCTTTTCAGTTCTACCAGCGGTCGCGACGGCCCAAGAGGTTACCAAAACGGGCCCCAGACGGCCCCAGAGGCCCCAAAGAGGGTTCCAAGATGGGCTGAGAGGAGAGGCTCGAGAGACTGCCACAATGCTTCCGAAAAGGCTCCTCGCACGCGGTCCAGTAGGCACCCGTGTACTGGGTGCGTTACCAGAAGAGAAAGGAGGAGGAGGAGGAGGAGGAGGAGGAGGAGGAGGAAGGAGGAGGAGGAGGAGGAGGAGGAGGAGGAGGAGGAGGAGGAGGAGAGGAAGAGAGGAGGAGGAGGGAGGAGGAAGGAGGAGAGGAGGAGGAGGAGGAGGAGGAGGGGAGGAGGAGGAGCAGGAGGAGGAGGAGGAGGAGGAGGAGGAGGAGGAGGGGGAGCAAAAGGAGGAGCAGGAGGAGGAGGAGGAAGATCAGGAGGACGAAGAGGGGGAAGAGGAGGGGGAAGAGGAGGAGGGACATTGTTCTTGTAATGTTATATGATTCTCTGATTATCTGGCTCGGGGGGGATGCTGAGGACGAGGAGGGAATGGGAGCGCAGGATGAAGAGGGCTCGAGAGGAGGAAGGAGGTGAAGTAGGTGAAGGAACACAAGGAGTGACACACCGAAGAGAGGGGAAGACAGGGAGGAGGAGGAGAAGGATGAGGAAGAAGAGGAGGAGGAGGAGGTGAAGGAACAGGGATCCCATGCAGGGAAACGCCGACGAGGAGAAGGATGAATATAAGATGATCGGAAGAGGGAGAACGGGAAGAGCAGGAGGGTAAGGGGACTGCAGTGGACCGGGGATGACGGCGATGACGCTGACGATGATGACGATGACTATGCTGACGACGACGCCGACGACGACCGACAAGATGTTGATGATGCGGATGATGATGCTGATAAGTACGATGACGATGATGGCGATGGTGATCACGATGCTGATTATAATGGTGATACGGCTGGTTGTTGTGATGGTGAAGGTGACCATGACCATGACGATGACAATGAAGATGACGGGGATAATGATGACAATGATGATGATCAGCATGACCCTAGCTAGAACTTGAGCGCGCGCGAAGCGCGCGATGGTTCTAGTATACATGTATATATGTACATGCACGTATACACATACTCACACACAACTATACACATACATAATATATATATATATATATATATATATATATGGCTAGCGCCGACTGGGGTGTCACAGTTACTACGTTGATTGGCAACTTCGATTCGGAGGCTTTCCGTTTCTTCAACAGTGGATGCACCAATGCATTTCGCGACGTGAAGATCCAAAGGCCAAGTGGGTGTTTCAACGCGTGGTATTCGATATGTGAATACACGACACATCAGTAGTTTGGGGTGTCTTTCGCTTAATAGTTCAAACGCGTTTGCTTTGAATAGTGTGTCTATCCACATTCTGCCAGGTGCGTCAGCACAACACAGCGCAACCACCTTGCATTAATTGTAACAGATATATGTGTTGCCTCATATGTATTGGCACGCGTGTCCAACGCGGTTTCTGAACACTTGGGTGTTCATACATGTTTGCCAAACGCAAGTTCGCAACGTATTCGAGACACATGGTCCATCTAATGATGTTGTACGTGGCATGCCGTTTGCCTTACCTGTCGCGCGTACTTCCCGCATTTCCCCTCACATCCCACATTCTGTTTGACCTAGTCCGTCACGTACGTACCACTTCTGTGTGTGTGCGCCGTATTTAACACACACACAGATATGTACGCGTACGCGCACAGACACACGTATTTATACATATCCATATCTGGAGAGAGAGAGAGAGAGGGAAAGACAGAGAGGGAGAGGGAGAGTGAGAGAGGGGGTATGTATATATATATATATATACAGATATACATGTATTCACACATTGGTTCACATGCTCACATACTCAACACCGTATTGGGTTTGACGAATTGAGATGCTTGGGCCTGCTTTGTGGGGCCTCTCAGTGATCTCTTGGGGAATATTGCGGCCTCGTGCGTCTTCCTTGAGGCCTCGTAGGCGTGTTGCAAGGCGTCTGGAAGAGTTCAGTGGGTCCTACAGGGTATGCGAAAGGTTCTGGAGGCGTTGAAGGATGGATTTGGAAGCTTTGAGGGCCAGGGAAGTGCGTCGGGGAGCGCGTAGCCCCCTGCCCCCAGTGCTGGACTCCAACTCAATGAGATTCGACTCACGGAGCAGTGAACAAGGGGCAAGGGCGACGCCAACCATCGCGTACGCCTTCTCGCCCCCAGCAAGCGGGGCCAACAGATTTGGACAACTTCCTGGTGGCCTGCAGAGACGCCGTAACCTTTTTGGGGGAGCGGGAGCTGATGCGGAAGGGCGCGGACGCCGAGGCCTTGGTGCAGGTTGCCAGTTGCGCCCGCGAGGGGCGTGAGGCGCTAACCCTCGCCCTCGACTGCTTGTGCCCCGGCGGCACAGGCAACGAGCGCACCACGAGATTGGAAACAGTATTTATCGAGGGTCTTCAGACGTGGGCACCACTGGTCGACGAGTTTCTGGAAGAGCCAGAGGTCCCTCCCAAACAGGGGTGCCTCTTGTCGCGCCTGTGGCGGGAGATGAAGTGCCCCTCGCGCGAGAAGCATGTGAATGCTTTACGATTGTGCACTCCCTGGTCTTTGGCATTATTGTGGTCGGTCTTCAAAAGGGACTACGATCCAACAGTTGTCTCAAGCGTCTCCTTCATTTTCTCTGAATCGTTAAGCTGCATGTTTGACAGGAATATAAACCGTATGTTAGGCGTCGCCATGGGCCAAGTGTTGGGCACCCTGCCCGCAGTCCTTCTCTCGTATCATGCAGCCTGCCAGGATAATCAGGGCGCTGAGTTGGGCAATGCTCCCAGGATCGTAAGGTATATGGTGGTCATGTTTTTATTGTGGAGCACTGCCATGTATGGCTACCTGGCAACAGGGGCAAAGTGGAGCTACGCTTACCTTCTTTGGGCTGCTTTTGGAGGGGTTAAAATGATAAGCTATTTTCCGGCTCCTGGCAACGATTTGTTTGAAGAGTGCGTTGTTGGGGTTGCACACTTCAAAAACACGGCTGAAACCTTCCTTAGCATTCTTGATAATTTTACTGGGTGTTTGCTGCTGGTATTTGTTGACGTGATCTTCGCAGCCAATACGTCTAATTTGACGATCCACCGATTGGCCAGGCGTATCCCAAACTGCTTGCAGAACATCCTTGTGATTATGGAAGGGCTTATGGAGCGGGACACTGCTAGCGCGAATATTGACGGGTTGCAGCAACACGTTGCTATCGCCCGCCAGATCGATGAAGAGACTGAAAAGGAAGACCTGGTGTGGAGTCATCTTTTCACGCAGCCCTACAACCGGGAACTCGTGAGCGCTACGTTGAGCGAGTGTGACAATTTCTTCGTCGCCGTGTATGCCCTCCGAGCTGCTGACGCACGCTGTGGCTCACAGACCAGTGTGCCCGACGCTATGCTCGAGGTAGTGCCTCGGGGGCTGATGGCGCGGGTCCAGCGCTACCCGGCAATCTTTCAGGCGATCTTGCTGGACAGGAGCGGTTCGTGTGTGGAGCAGGTCGAGGAGGCTTCCTTCCAGCCACATGCCAGTGGGTCGTCGTCCGTGGGGCAGAATCATGCGGAGTGCCTTCGATTCCGGCACGTCGCCTCCATCAAGCGGCACGCTGAGGAGAACGTCAGCGCTGCATCTTTGATGGTAGTGCGCGTCAGGATCTGGCAGATCTGCCTCTCTCTGCAGCGGCTGCGCGTCATCTTTGAGGAGCGCGCCGACTGGGCCGCCGAGGAGAGGGACCGCGCCCACTCGTCGTCTTCGCGCGCGCGGCTGCTGTCGAGGTCGAGCAGGCGGAAGGAGAGCAGCGAGAGCTGCGAGGACTCGCGCCTCCGGAAGGACAGCAGCGGCATGAGTGAGGCCGGGCGTCCCGTGACGGCGGACACCTTGCCGATGTACGAGTCGACGCCCGTCGGGGCCCAGAGTCCGGCCGTCCGCAAGACCTCATCCTTGACGAAGGCGGCGCTGCGCAACATGGGGCGGGACGTCTCCGAGTTCGCGGCGGCGTCGCGGCGTGGCAGGCTTGCCACAAGGGCAAGGGGCTTGTCGGAGGACTGCGGCTTCAGGGGCCATGTGGACCCGGAGGAGATCGACCTGAACTTGGAGGCGCGGGGAAACACACAGTCGGGCCGTTGAATGAGGATCTCGTTTCGTTGGGGAGGGGCTCGGTTTTCCCTAATTTTGTTTACAGTGTTTCTCTTAGGTTTTCTTTGGGAAATCGAAGTTCCACTTCTGGAGAACAGGGGCCTCGTTCCTGATTTGGGGTTCCTTCTGACAGCGCTTCGACTGTAGCGATACCGCCACCCCATGGCCTCTCATGGGGTGCGCTCTGGCCGTGCATCCGAGCCGACTGGGATGCCGCGGCGACGAGCCCCCACCCCCGGGAGGAGGCCCAAGACGGGCGAGAACGAGGGGAGCGCGTCGGCATCGGCATGCCAGGATGCAGCTCCTGGGATGTGTAACTCAGAATCGGCCCAATCGCCGGAAGCTCTTCGAAGGCCTTGCCAGGAAAAGGACGTGAGTAATCAGGACGGGGGCGTCGGCATCGGCATGCTACACCCCCAGTCGAAGTCAAACGCAAGTGTTTCCCGCGACGTGGCGGCGCCCCAGTACCCCAACAGGTTTAATGCTCGCGCCGAAAGTGGCAATCGCCGCCTCATCGGGCGCAGTCCCGCTGAATCCAGCCAAACCCTGGGCTTATTTCGGCCTCATCTGGTTCAATGGCCATGTAACCAGGCTTAGTAGCGCATGATATTTCTGACGGCGACCTCCCAGGAGTTGTTACCTTCTGATGTATGTCAGGGGCAGCGATAGGGGGGGTTAGGCATACGGGGAGGTGCTTCGACACCCAAACGCCCACTGATCGCCGATATGGGGGCCCGATAGCCCCAGCCCGCCCCAGGAACGTGCGCATCCATCATCGGAGGCCCCTCGCCGATCCATCGGCGAGGCATCGCCGATTCAGGTCGACGTGCCCTCCCTGCACCAGCCCCCCCCCCCCGTCGCCGCCCCTCGGTGTGGCAGCAGGCGGTGGAGGAGGAGGAGGAGGCGGTGGAGAAGGAGGAGGAGGAGGAGGAGGCGGAGGAGGAGGAGGAGGAGGAGGAGGAGGAGGGGGAGGAAGGCCTCCTCGTGCTTCCCCCCCCCCGAGGCGATCGGGGAAGCCAGCCCCCCGAGCGGCCTGCGGCGGCACGGGGGGGAGGACGAGCCCCGGCCGCTGGCGGGCGCCCGGCCCGGGGAGGCGCCCGCGCCCCGCTGGGCCGCCTCGCTGCTGCCGTGCTGCCCCGAGGCGCGCGCCCGCCTGCGGCCGCACGCGCCCGCGCGGGGCGCCGAGCGCGCGGCGTGAGTCGGCCGATCGCCTGCGCTGCTTGAGGAGGACGGCGAGAAGGAGGAGAGAGCAGGAGGAGGAGGAGGAGAGGAGGAGGAGGAGGAGGAGGAGGAGAGGAGGAGGAGGAGAGGAGGAGCAGGAGGAGAGGAGGAGAGGAGGAGGAGGAGGGAGGAGGGAGGAGGAGGAGGAGGAGGAGGAGGAGGAGGAGGAGGAGGAGGAGGAGGAGAGGAGGAGGAGGAGGAGGGAGGAGGAGGAGGAGGAGGAGGGAGGAGGAGGAGAGGGAGGAGGAGAGGAGGAGGAGAGGAGGAGGAGGACGGCGAGAAGGAGGAGGAGGAGGAGGACGAGGACGAGGAGGTGGAGTAGGAGGAGGAGGAGGAGGAGGAGGAGGAGGAGGAGGAGGCGGAGGAGGCTGAGGAGGAGGATGAGGAGGAGGAGGAGGAGGAGGGGGAGGAGGCAGCATGAGGAGGGCGAGGGACATCTTGGAGCACCTTGCGAAAAGTACACTTACGAGATTGAGCAGTGCACGGGGAGGGACGGGCCCCGGAGACAGCACCCTTGAGCGTGGGCGCCGGCGGCCAGCTTCGCCCAGGCGCGCGCGTGCCCCACCCGTCCCGATGATAGTGACACCGCTCCTAGATGCTCGGGCGTCTCCATCCGTGTGATGGTGGGGCCGCTTGCGGACTGTGGCGCAGCGTCGGCCTTTCCTGTTGGCTGTCCTCCCCTCCCTCCAGTCCTCTCTCTCTCTCTCGCTCTCCCTCTGGTTGCGGGGATCGCTCCCCCTGGCTCCGTTCTCCCTCTGGAGATTGTTGTTTTGATCACTCTCGTGCAGGGAGTGCCCTGTTAGATAGTTTGACCTCGAGTGGGGCAAACGACGTGTGACGACAGTTGTATCGCCACTCTGCTGCATCGCCGTCCGTGGAACAAGCGGGGTACCCGGGACATACTGTCTTCTCAATCTGATGTTCCGTTCTCCGCGAACGAAATGCCGACACGGAGTCGCGTCACGTCCCTCCCTCCCTCGTTCTTGGGCCCGTCCCTGGGCCCCCCCCGGGGTTCTCCGCCCCCGCTGCCCGCTCCGTACACGTCGCCCACGCGCTGCATCACATGGAGCGGGCGTGGTACCCGTGCCTCCTCCCCCGCCCTTCCCCAGCTCACGCCGCCAGCGTGGGCCAGCACCGCCGTACCTTATCACGAGCGTTGCGCCATTGCTGTGCGCATCTTCTCACCCTATATGGCATGTGTCACTCAACGCGCCTGGATCACTTCAGGCATACAATTTGCCGCCTGAGTTCGGACCACAGGAATTGTTTATCTTGCCCGGTGGACGCCGCTGTGACCTGACCAGCACCACACCAGAGGATATATTAAGCAAGCATGGCCGCGAGGATTGCTTGAGTGAGTAGGAAAACAAGAAGGAGAGCCATTGAGTCATGCCGTTCCATCGCCTCGTGTTTCGCTCCGGGAGCGACGCACCGCGTACGAGTCATGAACACGTTCTCCTTCGTGTCTTCACTTCCCGATCGCACGAATTATGGGCCTCCCCCAGTTCGCCTGGTCGCTCTGCTCGTCGTGCCGGGTGATCGACGAAGTAATGGCACGTCGTCTCGCAAGTCGTTTGTGAGTCGGCACGCGTACGTGATGACGCGGACGCGCAACGTCGGGCGATCCTGTGCGCGAAGTACGTCTGCGAGTATGGGCATGCCACGACCAAGTGCCGTTCCGCAAGCACAGTACCGGCCGACCAAAGCCAAGGCAACCACGGTCCACACGTCCCACAAGTCACTTGCTCAAAGGCCTTTCGGCACCGAGCACGTCTCGACGCAGGGCTCGCTGGCCGTGCCGGCAGCTTTGGCGGAGGAACGGGCAGCACAATGATCGAGAGGAGAAGAGGAGGACGACAAGGAACAGGAGGAGAAGCGAGGGGGAAGGGGAAAAACACGGCGGGCAGACGCCAACATGCAGGAGAGGGGGGAGGCACAGACAGCAGCAGGCAAGCGCGCACGTTGGGGGCGGGCGGTGGGCGGGCGGGAGGGGGCAAATGTCGTCGGTGGCAGTCGTGGGGTCGGCGTGGGTCGTGAGTGGGGAGGTCGTCGGGGTCGTCGTGGGTCTGGGGGTCTGAGGGCCGTCACAGCAGTGTTCGCCAGGCGCCAGGCGGGGCGGGCGGGGTCGTCCTTGGGGGCGGGGGGGAGGGCGGGGGGGGGGCGGGGGACGTCGGCGACAGTACCGCGCGCGAAAGAGTTATGATCCCTGTATTAGTTCGATTCGTCGCGTCGCACGTCGTTTCGGGCGAAGGAGCTCTCCCATGGCGCGTCGTCTCGCACTTGGCTTTTGAAGCTGCAACGTAGGTGGTTACGCGGACGCGTACCTTCGTTCGATCGTGAGCGCGGAGCACGTACGTCGGTGGGGCCACGCCGTCATTTCGTCTCGCTCCACGAAGAAGTTCCGATTAGAAGGTATGCGCTCTTCGCTATGTCGTAACATCGCTTCGCGATCGAAGGACGTTCGATTGCTGAGCCCTGCACTGCTTCGATTTTTTGCTTCGCTCGTCGTACGGAGACCTGTCTCCGAGAGGGCCAGCACACCACGCGAAACATCGTTCGCTTGACCTTTGAGGCGCTGCTTCGCAACGAGTAGGTTCGCACAATTGTTTCCGCCCCCGAGGCTCCCAGAGGCCCAGAAACCTTGGAAGAAACCCCGAAAGCTCATTACGACTCCTCCACCTCAGATGCCCCTCTCCAAACCCTTCATACAAAGACCTCCGATCACCTCCACAACCCCCTGCCCCTCAAGATTCTTCCATATGCCCCCACGGCAGCCCCTAGGTCCCCAATATGCACGCCTGAAAAACCTCACTACAACTCACCCCCGCATCACCTTCCTAACCCCCTACCGCCCGAGATTCCCCACGGGGCCCCCAAAGCCACCAAACGGCCCCCAAGATGCCAGCCCTCAAATCCGTAACACAGACCCCCCCATGACCTTGCCAACCCACTGCCCCCCAAGGCGCTCTGCTGGGAAAGACGCCCGCCTCCGGTTCCTTCCCAGACCCCTTCATCAATTTCCCAACCGCTGCGCCCCAAGATTTTCTCTGAGGACACCACTGCAAACGCGAAGCATCCTAATTGTTTCTTCTGCGGCTCTCATCGTCGTCGTCATCGTCGCCACCGCCGCCGCTTTCGTCTCCATCTCTTCGTCCGCCGTCCGTGGTTTGTCTTCCCTCTTCGCCGTCGCCGTTGCGACAACACCGCCGTCCTGGAGGATCAAACCCATATCCAACATTTCAATTCCAGTTCTGCTCCCTGTTTCGCGGCTGGCACGGCCGGACAAGACTTTCGCGAACCTCTTGAGGCCACACCGTGTCGCCTTTCCATGCGCGTGCATCAGCGCTCCACGCTCGCACAGTGTAACTTCATCCGACGGGCTTTCTTCTGTCTAGGGTCTTCGCCTGGCGCACACAGTGAGCATCTCTGCGCGTGGCCTTAGGTCAATGGAGCGAGCAGCGTGCGCTTAAGCAACCGCCACACACGCGCACAGAGACACACACACACACGACAATTTGGCCGCCGAGTGTTCCTCCCCCGCAACTGTGCCAGGCGAACGAAATGAGTAGCTCTTCGTTGCTATGCCAAACGTTGTATTCACGCAGCCAGCATATAAGCAGATTCACACCACCGCCGGCGAAGTAAATAAGCGAATGCCCTGTCGCGGTAGTTCCTTTCGATCGTGCGAACGAAGTGAGCATCTTGTCGTAATACTTTCTGTCGGACGTACGAGAGAAGTAGGTTAGTAATTAACTCGATCCCCGCGCTTCAACGAAACTCTTTCCTCCCCCCGAGGGGCGAATTACGTAAGTGCGTTCCCCGTAGCGGTGACTAGCTTCGACCGTGCGTATGAAGTACGGGCGTAAGTATCTTAGTTCTGCGCGTTCCTGGGTTTCGTTCGCCCCCCCCCGGGGGGCGAAGTAAGTAAGCAGATCTCCAGTCCGCGCTTGCCTTAACTAATCTCGTTCGCCCCCCCCCCTGGTCGGCCGGCTCGCTGCCAGCAGATCTATGTCCCGTTTGCTCCATGTCATATTCGATTCGTTTGTCCGTTCGCACCCCTCGAACGGAGTTTCGATCGAGCAAGCACTTTGGAGTACTGGCTGGCAGAGACTGCCGGGCAGCAGCCTCAGTGCTTGGGCAGAGCCTCGGGTCGTACAGTCGACCCACAGAGTAAGGATAGGCATCCCTCCCAAGGGTACCCCTGCATCCTTGCATCCTGGGTCCGTCCTTGGACACTTTCGTTGGCCGCGCCCCGCTCGGTAAGCTTCGAAATGGGCGCCCAAGGACCTTGCATCCTTATCGCGCATCCTTACTCTGCGGGTTGACTGTAGGAGAGTTTCTGCGCCGGGGGGCAGAAGAACGTTGGACAAGAAGAGCAGGAAGAGCGGCTGCGCGGATGGGACAAGAAGAGCGTTGGGTACTGCTGGCCGAGCCGCATTGGGGTCCAGTGCTGTGGTGACGTTGAGATGGACGAGTTCTCCAGGACGGGGGGAGGGGACGAGGAGGAGGAGGAGGAGGAGGAGGAGGAGGAGGAGGAGGGGAAGGGAGGGTGAGGATCGGATTTCTGGGTCCTTTGGCCTCGGGGGGGCCCGAGAGCCCCTCGGATGCCTCTGGATGCCTCTGTCGAGGAAGCGCGAACATGGATCAAGGCGCACGGACTGGCGACAGGTCCCGCGTGCATACAGAATCGGGGGCTCCGTCGCCAAGTCCGGCGGCACTGGCCTCCTGGATCGGGGTTACCTTCCCCGGTCCACGAGTCGGCGGCTTGCGAGGGGGAATGTGAAAAGGAGAAGGTCCCATCAGAAGGCGGCGGGGCTTCTCAGAAGCCCTCGCTCCTTCGAGAAGTGCCCTGCCTCTTCGGGGAAGGCTCTAGACTCTTTTCAGAAGACCGGGGGACTCCCGAGCCTTACGAGCGGGCCCACCCCTTCTCACTTCCCCCCCGGGCGCGCTGCCGCATGAATCGGACGCCAACGCGCCAAATCCACGGATTCCTCCAGTCAGCCCCCAGATTGTGAGGATGGGCAACCTTCCCCCAAGGGTTACCCTTGCATCCTTACCTCCTTGGTCCATCCTTGAGCCGCTCTCGTTGGCAGCGCCCCGCTCGAGGAGCCTCGAAATGTCCTTCCGAGGCCCTTGTATCCCTATCGCGCATCCTTGTGATGCGGGCCGGCCGTAGTTCGGGCCGAACGAAAGGGGGGGATATAGGGAAAGGGGGGGGGTCGAAATCTGCTGCATGCAGCTGGTTCCGGCTCCGTCGCTGGGCCCGTTCCTCGATACATGGGCGCCTCCAGGCGCCGGGTGGCGCCGGGAAATTCAGCTACGTGAGCTGATTCTGAACCCCAATCTTTGCTATCCCCCCCTTTCACCCGGCCCGAATAGTCTACGTTGGCGGGTGCCCGGTCAGAGGGGACCTCCATGGCCCCCTCCCCAGAGGGTTGGCTTCCAGAGACCAAGCCCCCGGCCGACCAGCAGGCACGAGCACACACGTGGGATCGTGCCGCGCGCCTCGCGGCGCGTTGGGGATCAGGAAGGCGGCGCCTCTCTAGGGGTGGGGGGAGCGGTGCGAGAGTCAGGGGAGGAAGAGGCATCCGCACCGCGATACCCTTGCCTCGTTTCCTTTTTTGGGGGAGGCCTCCAGGGAGGCCCTCGTCGCCACCGCTGGATCCGCCTCGAAATCCTGGTCAGAGCGCACCCCGGGAGAGGTCCGGGGAGTAGCGGAATCGGTGCAGTGGTTGTTCTTTACAGTGAGCCTGCCATCGCACAGAGCGCATGACAAGGAACGATTTGGCTTTTCTGGCCACGTTGGGCCTTGGCCACCATTTTGTTTGTCGTCGCAGCGCGTCAGAGGCATTGCGCACGCGCGCTCCAGGAGTCCGGGGCACGGCATACGAATTGCCCTCCAGCCCCCGGAGACCAGGACACGGATAATAAGGACACGGAAAACCAAGGAAACGACGCCCTTTCCCTGCAGAGTCACATTTTTCAGCACCCGTGCATTTTTTGTTTGCTGCGCTGCAGGATTCAGGTTTGTGTCCGGGCTTAGGGGGCCTTGCAGGCTTTTACGGTTTGTGTCCGGGTTTATCCTGGAAGTGTTGTAGTGCAGTATTTTGTTTGAAACATCGATTTCGGGGGATCTTGGGCGTCCAGGTCTAGCGTGTCCAGGTTTACATGGCCCTGATGCCCGGCGGCACGAGGGGGCGGGGAAGGCGGAAGGCGGCCGCGGAAAGGCTCTACACGGCGCGGAGGCTCGAGGTTATGCGATTTGGTCCCTATACGCCCCTCAGCCTCAGAAGTGGATGGCGCCGGTTGTCAACCCCAGAAGTCGGGGGCGCCAGGGGCGAGAAGAAGAAGAATAAGGAAAAGAAAAAGAAGAAGAAGAAGAAGGAGTGGAAACCGAAGTGGAGAAGGAGGAGGAGGAGGAGAAGGCGGAGAAAGAGGAAGAGAAGGAGGAGGGGAAGGAGGAGGAAGTGGAGGATATGGCAGCGCCTCCGATGTCCTCAGCGTCAGCATACCGCAGCGATTGCCACCGAACCCCACCGTCATCAGCGTCAGCGTCAGGTGGAGGATGATGACGAGGAGGAGGAGGAGGCCCCACCTCAAGGGACTCCCGGCGTCCTCCGAAGACCTCCAGGCGGGGAGGAGGATGCCTTGACGCCTTCTGCGCCTACATCCTCAACAGGTGCTCCAGGTGCTTCGTCGGCGGAGGAGCGACTCGGGAGCACCGCGTGCCGCCCCACGACCGATACGGATGCAGACGTGCACCGCCGCGCAGCTGCAGGCCCTCGCGGGCTCTGCGGAGAGGGCGACGAAGAAGCAAAGGCGGCCGCGTTGGACAAGGATTCCCGGGGTCGCCCTGCACCTACGTGCAGACGCGTGCTTGCTGAGAGCTGCGACTGCCTGGTTGGTGGCGACTGACGGTGATCAACGACAACCGCGAGTCTGAAGACTGATTGCGGAGTGATTGGGTCCAGGCCAGAATAGTTTCCCCTTCTGTTATGGGGCGGAGTTGTTTCTCATGGCTTACACACATCAGCAGAATCTTTATTATCTATTCGCTTCGTTCATTCCGCTGGCCCATATTGCCTCGCCGTTGTCGTTTTGTCGGGATGTTGTTGTCAATGCGGTGCCGTTTGGCGGCTGCAATTTTTCGGAGGCCGTGGGTGGTGGGTCAGAGGCCTCAGGGATGTTGGTTGAGCTCTCGTGGTTGGCCTCTCGGGGGCCTCTGGGAGGCAGTTTTGAGGCCTCTTGGGGACCGTGTTGGGGCCGTGTTGGGGCCGTGTTGGGGCCTCTTGGGGCCTCTTGGGGGCTTCCTGGGGATTCTTGGGGTGCCTTCTGGGGGCCCCTTGGGGCCTCTTTGGGCCCCTTGGGGCCTCTTGGGGCCTCCTGGGGGCCTCCTGGGGGCCTCTTGGGGCTGAAGGCTTCGGTTCCTGGTCCCCTTCTTCGGCCCCTCTTGGGGCTGTCTTGGGCCGTCTTGGGCGCCTCTTGGGCCGTCTTGGTGCCCTCTTGGGACGTTTTGGGGCCCTTCTTGGGCTCTCTTGGGCCCATCTTGGGGGCGTGTTGGCAAGCCGTCTGGGGACGATGGTGGAGGCCTCTGGGGCAGTTCTGGACGCTGTGAACCCCCAAAAGTCGCACATGCGAAAAATATATACGTTTTCCGGAAAGCATGGGACAACTTTTGCTTGTTGGGGCCCTCTTGGAGAGCCTCTTCTCGAGGTTCTCTTGGGGCTCTTTCGCTGCCTCTGGGGCCATCTGGAGACCACCTTGAGTGTCTTAGAAAAATCTCTCGGCGACTCGGGGCTTCTTGGGCAGTGTAGGGGGCGTCCCGGCGCCCTCTTGGCGCGCTCCTGGAGTGCCTTGAGGGAGTCAGCCGGGCATCGCCCGAGCATCGGCCGGGCATCAGCTGGGCATCGCCGGGGCCTTTTTCCGTCCAGGGGTCCCCAGGGGCCGCCACGCGCGCGCGAACTGGACATACTGTTAACCTGTTACCGGAGATCTCAGCACGCCTCTGGCCCGTTGGGCCAGCGAACTGCTGGTTTAGAACCCGTGGCGCTGCAACCATAAAAATTAGTCGTTAAGATTCTACGGGGGGTGGGGGAGCCTCGACAGCCCCACGTCTTGCGGTCGAAACTCTAGCACCGCCCGTGTAGTGGACCATGCGAGACGAGACGAGCCAGTCTTTTAACCTGGCTATGCCAAGGATGCATTAGCTGTCATTGTTTGTCTCCACTCCCTCCCTCCCCTCACTCCCCACTTTCAACCATCCGTCCTCTTCCCCCATGTCTCTCTTTCCCTCACTCCTTTTTATGCATTTCGTTATTTATTGATTTCACTCTCTCTCTCTCTCTCTGTCTCTGTTCTCTCAGATTGTCGCCAGGCTCAGGATTCATCTGGAAGGAGGATGACGAGGAGGAGGAGGAGGAGAAGGAGGAGGAGGAGGGAGCCAATGGAGAGATTTGTCGTTGGGTGGGCCGACGCTGTGGCGCATGCCCATGCGCAGGGCGCAGCCATCCAGGCATCCTCGCGCCAGCTCCCAGTCCCGTCCGCCTGCCCTCCATGCCCTGGCCCTCCGAAACGCCAAGGTACCTCCAGTGGGTTACGCCCTGGGCCGCGCTGGGCTTCTTTGCCGGCATCGCGACCTTCCAGGCCGAGCGGTTGCTGATCGGCTGAGGGTGTGCGCAAGCCCGCTCTCGGCATGAGCCTCGCAGGGAGAGGGGAAAGGGCGACGGCGGCGAGAGGAGAGGGAGGAGGCGGATGTTAGAGGGCGGAGGGAGGAGGAGGAGAAGGAGGAGGAGAAGGAGGAGGAGGAGGAGGAGGAGAAGGAAAAGGTGGAGGAGGAGGAGCCTCTGGGGATTCATGGGGACTTTCCGCGGGGGCCTCCGGGGACCTTTGGAAACATCGGGAGACTTCAGACATTTATCTCTGGGGATTCTTGCACACAATTTGCCCTCCTTGCCGTCCTGCTCATCTTCTCCATCAACATCCCACCGATTTTGCCATCGCATCAATGCCCTCAGAACGTAAGCGTCAGACATAGCATCACGCTACGTCGTGCTTCGCCCTCCATTCACTTCTGGCTCCCCCCGCCACACCACAAGAGACTCACGTTAGCAACAGCTCGTGCAGCTGCCTGCCCAGGTTTGCAGCAGGAGTCGCTTGCATGTTGCCTCCTGCGTCGCAGTTGCGCACGACACGCTTCCCGCAACGCAGGCGAAGTAATCGCGTACGGCCCGGCCAGTTTCTCTTGTTACTTCGGTGCTGGGCCCCGCGCTCCGTCGCTCGAGGGGGGGCGGGGGGGCTTTGCAGATGCGGCGGCGCCTGTCGTACCTGGCGCCCAGGCCGTCCGGTGATGATGGTCCCGATTCATGCTCGTTAGGTGCGCAATTGTACGGGATGGGAGGTGGTTCTCTTGGTCGCGCGGCACCCTGCTCTCCTCTGTGCTTACAGCGGACATTTGTCCAGATCGATTTGAGACTGAACATCTCCTCTCCCCCCCGCGCGTCCATTCCTCCGCCTGCTCCCCACTCCTGCCTCCCCCCCTCCCCCTCCTCCTTCATCCGACTCATCCTGTGCGCCGCCTTCGTCGCGCATTTCTCAGCGAGACTGGGACGTTGCGTTAGCTGCAGAAAGATCAAGCTGCGAACGACCACGCCGCCGACAGCCGTGAAAGACCACGCCGCAGCGGCCTCCAACGACCACCCCTTCTGCTTGAGAGCTGGTCGTTCGTGGTTGCTGGAGGTTCGCGGCTGCTGGAATGGTGGTCGTTCGTGGCTGCTTGTCGCCCTGCTTGTCGGCCGTGAGGCGTGGGTCGTGGCGGGCTCGGGAGGATCGGGATGGGCCGAAGGCCAGTAGATAGAATAGTTCACTCGTCCTTGGCTATCGACTGCAACGCTCCGTAAGGCCGTGCACTGCGGTCTTCTCTGCTGTACAATGCCATGGTATGCCATGCTATGGTGTGTAATCGTATGATACACTTATGCCATGGCACGACATGCCATGCAATGAGATGCTAGCTAGGCGGCGCCAAGCAATGATGGTGCATGCGGTGCTACGCCGTACTTTTTTACATGACGTGTTATTACATGCCGTGTTGTGAAATGCAATGGTATACACTATGACGCCAGGCTATGCTACGCAATGTCACGGGAAGTCCTTGCATGCGATGCTGTGCAACGCCTTCCCGCGCAAAGCTATGCCATGCCACGGCTGCTGTGCTATGCGGGGTGCGCGGGCTCGTCGTAGTCATGCGTTGGCAAATGATGCCAGCGCTCGCAAATAGATGCTTCGTGGGGGCGCTCGACTTCCCTCCTAGAGCGCGCCACAGTTGACCCGCATGGCGCCTCTCACTGTCCACGACGACGCCGCGCCAGCAACCAAGGCGAGGTCGCCTACCGCGCTATCGTTTGGGGGCCTCCTTGGGACAGGCGACGAGAAGATCGCAAAGTACGTGATGCACATGAGCCTGACATCTTGTTGATTGTTGGCGGGAACTCCTTTCAGATTTCGATTCGCTTGCTATGGGGGGACAGTCAAAGACGCAGATGGCGCCGCATGGAACTTTTGCGCGTTGTTTGCTGAATCGGACGAAGAGGCCCATTGCAACGCATGCGGCCTCCCCCATTACAATGGTGCCTCTGAGATGTGCACAGAGCGCCTAGCCAACAGGTCGCATAGGCCGTATATGGACTTGCAGCGAGGAGCAGCCTGGAGATGCACAGAAGAAATGCCAACCGTGTTTTACCGCGCACGAGCTAGGGCCCCTCTACATCCGCTGGTTGCTTCACACTCTGTCCACATATATGTCATCTTTCTAGATCTGATGCACCTTGTTGGCTGCAAAGGACTCGCGGCCATCGTGTACGGCAGTCTGCTGCGCGCGCTCATCCGACATCCAGGGCTCGGCAGCAACCAGTCTCTACGTCTTTTGAGAATCGACGAGCTCAAGGACGAGTGGTACGAGAGCCATGAGCCGGCGCATCGGTTGCCGAAGATTGTGAAGGCTAACATGACCATACAGGACGGTTGGCACGAGCTCCACGGCCCTGTCATCAGGGCCGCCAACACGCGATCGGCGGCCCTATGTTTCCAAAGTCTTGTTCAAACATACCTTACGTCGGACTCAATACACGATGTGACTCACCTTGCTGTGATCGGCAGCCCGATATTTCTCAGCGACGCGGCTCTGGCCTCACTCAGAGAGCACGTGCTCGTTTTTGGTGAGAATTTCCAGAGGCTTCGAGAGAATGCAAGAGTGGCGGGTGCTTTGAGCTGGGTTGTGAAGCCCAAAGTTCACATACTCCAACACCCCCCGATGCTTGCCAGCGTGATCAACCTTCGATTTGTGCAATGCCACGCTTACGAGAGGGTCATGGGCACCACCGCTCAAGTGTGGAAAAGCTCTGTGAGCTGGCGCTATCATTCCAGCGTTCAGGACAATGTGCTCGCCAAGAGGCTGCGTGGATTGATGCTCCGACTGGAAGTGTAAGAACATCCGTGGTGTCGATCCTTCCCTCCTCACCTCTCCCCCCCTGGAAGGCCCAACCGCCTCGCCGTTCCACGTCCCCAGCGTCAGCGCCGCCCAGCGCTGGCGCCGCGCGAAAACAGCACAGCGCTAGCGCAGCCCACCGCCCACGACACCGCGCAAGCACGGCTAGCACAGCACAGCGCCAGCCTAGGAACGCTGCGCAGCACAGCGCTGGCACCGCCCGCCGCGACCAACGCAACGACCACAACCGCCGCCAGAAAGACCGCCACCACCGCCGCCGCGTCGACCACCGCGACCGCAACCAGTGCAAACACCACGAATGTCCCCGTCCACCGCCACACACGACCGCTAGTTAGCGCAGCGCCATCACCGCCTACCATCGCTAACACTACGACCATCACCGCTACGAACACCACCAACGCCAACACCGCAATCGTCACCGCCACCCGCCGCAACAACCAACCACCCACCGCCGCGAGCACCCGCGACTACCACCGCGACCACCGCTACCAACACTGCGACTGCCGCCCCCTTCATCCGTCACCGCCACCCACCGACGCGGCGCTCGTATAATTAGCATGTAAATTATAGTTGCCTTATAATGATTGATACGTTTATTAAGTTGCAAGTGTGTTGTTATATATTAATACAGCATGCACACTGCTGTTAAATTGTGATAGTTGCTTGGGATCGTCGAAATAAGACATGACACTATAAATGGTTCGATAAACAGTTGGCTCGTTCAGGCTACTGGGCGACGCCTCGGGCGCCGTGCGCCCTCCGTGCTGCGCTGCGGCACCAAGCTGGCTGGAGAGCTCATCTGGGGCTCGCTTCGCCTTTCGCTCCCGCTGTGGCTCATGTAGCCTGGCAACCGTCTCAGCTCTGCTATGCGCTCTCTTCTGCCCTTGTTGTTCCCCCCTCCCCTCGCGGAATCTCCGAACTTGAACGGTGTCATATTCAGCAGGCTCGGTCAGAACGTTCGTGTATAGGGGACCGGTACCATAGTGTGCATGGGACTTTCGGTTGTCGCCGAAGGTCTGGGGAGCTCTTCGCCCCCGGGTCGAGTTTGAGGGACCATTCCTGCAGGGTCCTCATCGGAAAAAAATCAACGTCCTTATCAGGTGCCGTCGTACCGCACCACATCGAGCGACGTCCGCCCAGCACGCCCTATTGCGCTGTTTGGTGAGCGAGCACACGGCCTGGGTTCAGTAGCGGCCAGGGCTCCTCGAGATTCTCGGGCCTTCATGCGGCTTTCGGTCGGCGAGACTGTCTGTGAGGCACGGGCACGCATCTGAAGAGCGAGAAGGATCGAAAGGAGGAGGAGGAGGAGGAGGAGGAGGAGGAGGGAGGAGACAGAAGGAGGACCTCGGAGCAGGAAGAGGAGGAGGAAGAGGAGGAGGAGGAGGAAGATGAGGAGGAAGAGGAGGAGGAGGAGGAGGGGGAGGGGGACGAGGAGGAGGATGGAGGAGGATGAGCGCATGCAAGAAGACGACGAAGACGAGGAGGGGAAGGGAGGGGGAGCAGGAGGTTAGAGGGAGGGGAAGGGAGCGGGAGGGAAGGGAAGAGAGGGGAAGGGAGGGGAGGGGGAGCTGGAGGGAATGGAATAGAGAGCAAGCCCTCCGAGTGCGGCACCTCTGCTCGCTCCCGCCGGGCTCTTCAGAGCCTCGACCGCCTGTGGCCCGACGTCCCCCGAGCACTGGCCCGGAGGTTACCCCGCCCGGGCCCGCGCACGGCCTCCTCCGGAGGGTGGGGCGAGGTGTCCGAGCACGCGGCAGCCCCGGCCCAGACGAAATGGGGGGGGGCGCCTGGGCCTCTGTTAGCTGGGGTCCGAGCGGATGGGGTCGGAGGATCGCGCCGCATCGCCGATGCATCGCCGATGCGGCGCGATGCGGAGCCCGATGTGCTTCACGCCGACGTCGCCGATGCATCGCCGACGTCGGCGATGCGTCGCCAGTGCATCGCCGGTGCATCGCGCGGTGCCTCGGCGAGGCATCGCCGATGTGTCGGCGATGCGGCGCGATCTCCCGACCTCGCCTGCTCCGGCCCCATCCAGGACGCCTCTGGGAGCGAGGTGCCCAAGCACGCGGCAGCCTCCGGCCGAGGGGGGCGTAGGACGAGGGGGTGAGGGGGGGCGTGGGACGTGGGACGAGGGGGGGGGCGGTGCCCAAGACGAAAGGGGGGGCGG